CCCGCTTCCAGTTCTATTTCCAAAGGTAAACACTTGAGCAAAAGCAAACAAATCAACAAACATTTGTCGAACCCACGTTACGTGCCAGGCAGCATGGGTGATACAAAGAAATGTACCTTCACTGTGCCCCAGAAAGTAACACAACATTGTAAATCGACTGTACTTCAATTAAAAAAAGAAGAGAAATGTACTTCTAAGTAATTCCAAACTAATAAGGGAGATGAGCAGAAATAATTGGGCAAATTAGGAAGAAAAAAGGTTTAACTGATAGTCCAATAAAGGAAGAGTTGACTCGAAGTACAGGCTGATTAAGTTCCAAGTGAATATTAAGACTTAGAAAAGTTCCAAGAGTTCGCAATGACTTCCACTTACATAGTGAAGAAAGAAAAGGCTTTGTGAAGAAGGCAGACCTCGGGCTGGGACTTGAACGGAAAGCTGGACGTGAAAGGTGAGAGGACGCTGTCTGGGGTCATCCTACCTGAGATGCCTCCTGCCTCCACCTCCAGGGTGTGACTGGTCCTGCTCTACTTCAGTTTCCTGATGAAAATAATAACACCTTGGCACCCAGAAACCCTAAATCACAGGGTTATGGTGAAACATAAACGTGGTAACACATATAAAACACTTAGAATGGAGCTTGGGACATAATAAATGTTCAATGCATGTTAGCCATTGTTAGTATTTCGAGGCTGGCTACACATTGTAAGAAAAATACAGGACTTATTCAGGAGAGAACAGGGACAGGACCCAGTTTCCAGAGGGAGACGAGACCTGAGCTAAAACCCTGAACTCTATTCAATATCTTGTAATAACATGTAACGGAAAAGAATCTGAAAAGAAAATATACGTACGTATGTGTATGTATATGTATAACTGAATTGCTTTGTTGTACACCTGAAACTAACATTGTAAATGAACTACACTTCAAAAAAACAAGAGCAAACCCTGAGGAACTCCCTGAGGGAACTCAGGGTTCTGCATGGTCCTGCCAAATCAGCCCTCCCAGCACATTCAAGCACAAAGACTGTGCTTTTCCCAACCGCAGAGAAAGTCAAGTCTGTATCACAAGTACTTCCTTCATAATGCTTAACCCGTTTTTGGATCTCTGCACCAATATTTTTGGGCTCTCATAAAGCTACAGGTTTAATTCTAAATATTTCACATGTATCATTTGACTCAGTTCTTGAGAAAAACCTTCCAAAGTATATACTGTTAATACTGCCATTGTACAGTTGAAGAAAATGATACTGGAATGTTAATTATCTAAGATCCCAAAGAAGTTGGAGAATCAAGAAACAAGTCCAGCAACCTGACCTCAGAGTTGACCTTCCCAACCCCAGTGCGACAGACACTACACTTTGTGTCTTCAAAGTTCAGTGTCCAAATCAGGGGTCAGCAAACTAAGGCCCGCTTTCGGCCTGCCACCTGTTTTCATAAATAAGGTTTTATTGGAACAAAGCCACTCATACATTTAAGTGTGGTCTCTGGTCATCTCAAGTTACAATGGCTGAGCTGAGTAGCTGCTATGGCGATCACGTGGGATGTGAAGTCGAAAACATTTACCATCTGGTCCTTTACAGAAATACGGGCCAAACACTGGTCCGGATGGTGCAGAATGATTAGTCAGAAAGGGAGTTTTGAGTACAAGCACATTTCTCTTGACCTGATACAATGTGATGAGCTGTAACACAACGCAAGTTTGTCGGTTTCCTTCTCTGCCCACGTCTAACAAGCCACACGCTGCTCTGAGCGTTTGCCATTAGAATCTGTTTGTTCTTACAGCCAATGTGAGGGTGAATTTCCTATTTATTCACCAGTCCTTAGACCCATGCCTGGTCATGGTCTGAGCGTAACCAATCTGAACTAGTCATTTTTTCCAACAAATGAATAATATTCCACGTAGAAAATCTGTTTAAACCTGCATAGAAATAACAATGGTGGGATGGGTGGGGAATATTTGGATCCATGTAATACTTCTTTCCAGAGGCAGGAATGGGGTGAGGTAAAGGAGGCACCTGCCTAGGGAGCAAAATTTAAGGTGGCACCAGAACCTTCAAGTCATCAAGGTAAATAAGTTTAATGTGATTTTTTAAAAAAATCAAAATCAGTGCGAAAACAATTTATGATGAACAAGATATCAGAGTTTTGCAGAAAGGTAGACGTGGACCCTGCTCTTGCCTGATTCAGCCTTCCCTCGTCCCAGCTCTGCTTCTCACTTGCAAGAGCTTGACACAGTTCAGGACCGACTGGATATTTCAATAGTATCATGGTTTATTTCTCGTAGCG